CATTTATATATATATATATATATATATATATATATATAAAATCATATTGTGATTATTATTATGAAATTACAATAATCGCAATATGATTATTATTATGAAAAAAGAAATGAAACAAAATATATTAAAATATATTAATGTTGTAAAATACAACATTAATGTGGCACTGTAAAATAACAAAAAAAGATTTTTTTTTAAACATTTTATTAAAAAAAATATTTTAGTTTACATTACAAAAGTAAAATTACAATACTAATATTACACCATTGGGCTTTTATTTTTAAATGAAATACATATAAATATGAAAACACTGTGTAAGAATGAACATATTTATTTATTTAAATTTAACGGCATATTTAATTAAATCAGATTTTGCGATTTCACAATAGCACTAAGCCACAGTGCTATTCCAATTTTATTTTAATTTATTGTTCAGCCCTTATAATAGGTATCATGGGATACATCCAAGGCTGTTCCAAAAGGTATGTATCGTCTTATAAGATGATAATATTCAGAATTAAATTCATTCACTACTAAAAAGTATCAATAAAAGTAATTTAATCTAATTAAAATTGACTATATCAGCCAATATGTGTGTGCTGTGGATGTTTTTGGTCTATGAATCTCTTATTCCACATGTGTTGCACTGTTTGGGTAGCTGGTTATATGTAGAGCACTTCGAATGCCTTATGTAGACAACAAACAGGACAGTTGACTAGGTTCTTGAGCAGAAAAAGAGCGTCTCACCCTCTCACAGTCCCGCTCTCCTGATAGTTGACTTGAATAAACTTGCCAAAGCGGCTGGAATTATTGTTATGGGCCGTTTTGGCATTTCCAAAAGCCTGAAAAAGGAAAAACAAAGAAACACAAAGACATTAAGGGACAAAAACGTAATAACTATAGTGGAGAAAAACAACACGTACAAATTTTTCAGATCAGCATCTGGAAGCATATAGATCATATGTACAGATGGTTTATGCCTCATAAATTCAGACCAAAACGTGACGACAGACTAGCAGATACTATTAGTCACATATCTCTCTGAGTTTGACGGCAGATTCCTTTAAGAAAGACAGCCCAGGTGAATAGGGTAAAAAAAAAAACATTAAGAAATGCAAACATTTTTTCTGAAATGTTGTTTAAATACGTAAATGAGGCATTATCTAAATAAATATGCAGTAATTCGCAAATATTTCCAGAACAAAAATCTGAACATTGGATGAATCCAGGTTCTAAATATTTGTTTGATTTTGTTGACATGTCAGAATTAAAGGTTTTTACAGAGGGGATTTTAAATTGATCTTTTTATCACTGCATTAATCAGAAAAAAATGTCAACTGACAGAAAAAAACAGATTTTCACCATTTTTTTAGGAATAAAATGTTGTATAGGTGAATGATATATGAACAAACCCCTCAGTAAAATCCTTCAGAATATAGATAGCAATAAAACTCTAAGTTTTGGTGTATGTAAGTGCTGTTGAAGTGGAGAAACAAACTCATTTTGAGAAAAAGACCTTTGAAAATATGTATTGTAACTGAAATCTACAGACGCAAATAAATAAGGTGAAAAAAAAAAACAAATGATATATGAACAAACCCTTCAGTAAAAACCTTCAGAATATAGATAGCAATAAAACTCTAAGTTTTGGTGTATGTAAGTGCTGCTGAAGTGAAGAAACAAACTCATTTTGAGAAAAAGACCTTTAAAAATATGTATTGTAACTGAAATCTATAGACGCAAATAGATAAAGTGCAATAAAATAAAAATCAGTGTGAATGATAACAAACCCTTCAGTAAAATCCTTCAGAATATAGATAGCAATCCTAAACCTACCCCTCACAGGAAACTTTGTGCTATTTCAGATTTTCAATACACTCCATTCTGTGTGATTAGTGAGTTGAATGAAAAGTGGGGACATGGGGTAATGTCCTGAAAAGTCACCTTCTCCTTGTAATACCTATGTCATACTTTATCATTATACAAATGTATGTCCTCATTTGTCACAAAAACGCGCACACTCTCTCTCACACACACACACACACACACACACACTCACAGATACTGACCAGCTCGGTCTCATAGTAATTTCCCCAGTGCTGTCTGTGGACTTTCTTTGTTATCTGGAAGGCAAACAGACAGTTAAGAGCTGCAGACATACTCATCTGTCTCACATACACACACACACACACACACACACACACATGAATGTTAATGACACACACAGGGATGTAAAAACTCACTCGCAAAGAGATGACATTACATTTCCATTCTTTTAATAATAATAATAATTTTAAAACTATTATAAAATATTTTTGCATATATTATTTGTTATCATTAAACTGCATAATATATTTTTGCATTATTTCAGACATCTAGATATTTTGGCCTTTAAAAGGATCCTTCGCTGAACAATAATTGAATTTTCATTTTCAGTTTGATGCTCTTTGAAGACGTTTTACAGCTTTTATGAAGAATTTTTACAGCCGTAGTAAAGACACTTGAGATGAAACACAAACACACACTCAGATCCTGACAATCTTCTTCAGATTTCCTATTTCTGCAGAATATTATACACATATTACACATGCAAATGCATCATGATCAGAGTGATGCTGAAAGTTGTACGGCACAAAGCTGGCAGTCGTATTCAGCACTAACATGATGCTGGTGTATGTGCGTGTGTGTGTGTGTGTGTGTGTGTGTGTGTGTGGGCTCTGGATCAGCCGCACGCAACCAGCAGTCTGTTCACTCTGATCTCGCCTCCGCTGATGTTGACGACTGTCACCATGGCAACAGCGGCACCCGACAACAGCCTCAGCATCAGCATCATCCAGCTCTTGTGTTGCCAGGGATTACATGGCACGTCTTTCAGAAAATAAGCTTAGATTATGTTTTTCTGCATGTTGTGCTTTTCATTAGGAACGAACACAGACAGACGCATCTACAATAACCACACTCGCAAATCTGTTTTAGGTCCGGTTTAAGCAGCTGTACCTGGTTCAGGTAATGATACTCCTCTGGTTTGAGGAGATGAAACGCTTTTCTTTCTTCTTCACTCGCTCCGGCCAGCAAGTAGTAAAACACATGATAGTTCCTGTGAGAGAGAGAATATTATACAGTATAAATGATATATATACTGACCAGTGGTCTAAATAATAACAACAAACACATAATTTTAGGTAGATTCCACATGTGTTGCACTGTTTGGGTAGCTGGTTATATGTAGAGCACTTCGAATGCCTTATGTAGACAACAAACAGGACAGTTGACTAGGTTCTTGAGCAGAAAAAGAGCGTCTCACCCTCTCACAGTCCCGCTCTCCTGATAGTTGACTTGAATAAACTTGCCAAAGCGGCTGGAATTATTGTTATGGGCCGTTTTGGCATTTCCAAAAGCCTGAAAAAGGAAAAACAAAGAAACACAAAGACATTAAGGGACAAAAACGTAATAACTATAGTGGAGAAAAACAACACGTACAAATTTTTCAGATCAGCATCTGGAAGCATATAGATCATATGTACAGATGGTTTATGCCTCATAAATTCAGACCAAAACGTGACGACAGACTAGCAGATACTATTAGTCACATATCTCTCTGAGTTTGACGGCAGATTCCTTTAAGAAAGACAGCCCAGGTGAATAGGGTAAAAAAAAAAACATTAAGAAATGCAAACATTTTTTCTGAAATGTTGTTTAAATACGTAAATGAGGCATTATCTAAATAAATATGCAGTAATTCGCAAATATTTCCAGAACAAAAATCTGAACATTGGATGAATCCAGGTTCTAAATATTTGTTTGATTTTGTTGACATGTCAGAATTAAAGGTTTTTACAGAGGGGATTTTAAATTGATCTTTTTATCACTGCATTAATCAGAAAAAAATGTCAACTGACAGAAAAAAACAGATTTTCACCATTTTTTTAGGAATAAAATGTTGTATAGCACATAATTTTAGGTAGAAATACATAATATCATGTGACGTACCTCTCATTGTGCTCCTGATAAACTAGTCGGGATTTTTCCAGAAGATACTTCTCCACATAAGCTCTGAAATCAATAATCAATGGAAATAAAATAAAATATATATAAAATTCCCTCCAGAAACAGATATTTTTAAATCAAATTCTCCAAACACAAGCTCAGGAACAACACTGATGATGTTCAAATCAAAACTGATTAGAGGCAGATTTTTATATTTACAAATATTTTACAGTACAACAGTAAAATCACAATTCTTATATTTATGGCTTAATTTCTAAATTTTCCTATGTTGTACCACTGACCTTTCATTTGTAAAATGAAAATACATTTATACTCATAAATTCAGACCAAAACGTGACGACAGACTAGCAGATACTATTAGTCACATATCTCTCTGAGTTTGACGGCAGATTCCTTTAAGAAAGACAGCCCAGGTGAATAGGGTAAAAAAAAAAACATTAAGAAATGCAAACATTTTTTCTGAAATGTTGTTTAAATACGTAAATGAGGCATTATCTAAATAAATATGCAGTAATTCGCAAATATTTCCAGAACAAAAATCTGAACATTGGATGAATCCAGGTTCTAAATATTTGTTTGATTTTGTTGACATGTCAGAATTAAAGGTTTTTACAGAGGGGATTTTAAATTGATCTTTTTATCACTGCATTAATCAGAAAAAAATGTCAACTGACAGAAAAAAACAGATTTTCACCATTTTTTTAGGAATAAAATGTTGTATAGGTGAATGATATATGAACAAACCCCTCAGTAAAATCCTTCAGAATATAGATAGCAATAAAACTCTAAGTTTTGGTGTATGTAAGTGCTGTTGAAGTGGAGAAACAAACTCATTTTGAGAAAAAGACCTTTGAAAATATGTATTGTAACTGAAATCTACAGACGCAAATAAATAAGGTGAAAAAAAAAAACAAATGATATATGAACAAACCCTTCAGTAAAAACCTTCAGAATATAGATAGCAATAAAACTCTAAGTTTTGGTGTATGTAAGTGCTGCTGAAGTGAAGAAACAAACTCATTTTGAGAAAAAGACCTTTAAAAATATGTATTGTAACTGAAATCTATAGACGCAAATAGATAAAGTGCAATAAAATAAAAATCAGTGTGAATGATAACAAACCCTTCAGTAAAATCCTTCAGAATATAGATAGCAATAAAACTCTAAGTTTTGATGTATGTAAGTGCTGCTGAAGTGGAGAAACAAACTCATTTTTAAGAAATTGGCCTTTAAAGATATGCACTGGAATTGAAATCTACAGACGCAAATATGCAATAAAAGTGCAATAAAAGAAACGCTAAAAGTGTATTTTGGATGTTTTCTCTACACTAGTCTGAAAAAACACTTTATGAAAAGCCAAAAAGCTTAAAATCTCAAAACTGCCCAGTGCATGAAAAAACAATGTTTTTGTCTGTAGTGTCTCGCATTAAAGCTGCAAATGCCTGAAACTCTCAGATACGTTCAGAAGAGTAAATCCTTCTCCAGACTCCTCGAGTCTCCCCTTTCAGACTGACCCAGCGAGACCCATTTCAATTAAAACTTTATGATGTGGAACCACGAGTCCCTGCCGCTGCTTTCACAGCAGCTCATGCAGAAACACATCACGCTCACGGGCCTTCGCTTCATTTTCTCCACAGGGTTCCTTCATGTGCTCAGAGTCTGTAGAGTTTATACATGGAACCAAGTGGAGAGTTTATCATGACTTTTAGATAAAAGTAAAAAATATAAACTTCAATATGTCTTGGTTTTAAAAAATATTATGTTAATATAGACATGCATATTACTTTAAACATTTACTAGATCAATTTAAATGTAACATGACTTTACACAGGACTAAATAAAAGTCTCACTGGATGAAACGCCTCATTTGAAAGCTATAAGTCTAAAGCTGGCTCGGGACGGGCCACACACAGGGCTGCTGACGGCCGAGGAGGTGAAGTATAAAATAAACACAGCCTGCACCACATGAAGTCGAGGGCCCAATATGTGAGACAGGAGGCTTGAGGTTTGATTAATGACAAGAAACGTGTGAACATGATGAAGTGAACATAAACAGGGCTGGACTCTCCGCTGGGAGGCGTTAGGAGATCTGGAGGTGCGTTCAGACCGCCCCGATAACACAGCACTGAACCCGACTCGAACCGGCCAAAAATTCAGGAGCACCTTTTGATCAATAACAAAAATTTAGCCTTCCCATTACGAGGTGATATTTGACTTCTTAAAGTGATTTACAAGAGCATTTTTTGTACCTTTGTAATGGCATTTTTCAAACTTTATTAAAAGTATGACATATTTTATGTCAAATTCAAAAATGCATATTTATAAGCTTTTTCAAAAATTTCCAATTAAAACAATAGAATAAGAAGAATAAGCTACCGATCAAATGAAATCAGTATTAACAAATGTTATTTGCACTACAGAGCTGCACAGAAGAACACAAAAGTGGCATGTAGGCATATTTACAGATGCTTAATGAGGTTCAGATGTGGCATGAGTGCAATTAAATTCATACATTATTAGATTAAATTGCTGAGATTAAAGTTTTAAACATAAAATGTTAAATATAGAAATATGAAATTATTTAAATAACTGAAACTAAAAATGAAACTAAAACTGCCAGTAGGTGGCGGTAAGTAACTGATTTTATTACTGAATCATTCATTCAATCGATTCGTTCGAACGGCTGATTCATTCAGGAACTGTCTTTATGAACGGGTGACTGAATCATTGACTCACTAGATTTGTTTAAAAACGCACGTTCATTCATAAACAAAACAGCGCTGTGTTTGCTTGGACTTTGTTAGAAACGATTTTCGTTGACGAAATAGAGCAAAATCAGGTAATAGCGTCATAGTCAGTCAATGCAAGTCACTTAATATTAACTTCTTGTTTATTGAACTGTTAAATCAAAATCACATGTGCAAACTCCCTTCATAATCATTAAATCTGTCACTCATCACGATCTCAGAGTTCCATTATAATCAACGCAGTTGTGCAATGCATCTCTTATTTACATCGTGTCTACGCTTCGTTTGTTATAATGATTGGATTCGGCAGAACTCAGCACTGAACAAAACTCCGGTGTTTGAGCAGTGAGTGGATTCTGATTCACATTGTGTTCAAGGAATCAACAGATATGTCTGTGATGCATCACTCAACGCTGCAAAAACACGTTGTAAAGAGAAACCTTTGAGGCATACAAATTCCGAGTATGGGTCACCATACTTGGCCACACGTCGCTTCACTTTTTCACTATCAAATATGCAGATCGGGTCAGTCGCACTGCTGCTCCTAAATATTTTTTCATAGTCGCAGGCAGTAGTTTTCAGTCGCAGAGCCCTGTAATGTGCTTGAATGATTCTCTGTCTCGTCTCCCGTGTGGTCTGACAGTTTATTCCCTCTGCATTTGCTCCGTAATGGAGGTTCTCTGTGGTTTCTGTCAAGCCGTTTCCACACTGTCACTTTATGTTAACCAACAAGAAAAGCACAACTTCACACCCTCGCTGCTAGACAGGAGGATCTGCTCCCACTGGTTTAGAGAGGACGGTCGCTGAAGGGTTAATTACACTGTCACCGCTTCAGACTAAAGGGTCACGACATTTGTCCACATCTCTAGTCTCTCGAGGCACTTTATTAGCCTCACACTTTCCATCTTTCCCTTTGTAATCTCATCACACCAACACAAACTCTCACTCAACACAACTACATATATATTTAATATATATATAAAAAAAATCAAACTAAAATAAATATTTAAATAATATTTATAAATATAATTTAAAGATAACTTTAAAAACATTTAAATAATAATATTAAAATTATTATAAATATCCTATCATAAATATATTAAAATATCAAAATAAAATAAAATAAAACATTAAAATAATATTTACAATTATTCAAAATATCCAGTAAAATACATACCAAATAAATATAGAAAGTAATGATAATAAATGATAATGATAAAGTCAATTAATAATGAGAATTAATTAACGTCCACCCCAATAATGATTTATTTATGAATTAAAAATAAAATATTAAAATAAAAAAATATATATATTTTTTATATTTTTAAATAATTTTAAAACACTTTAATAATATTTAAAATTATTCAAAATATACATATACGTAAAAATAATTTTTTGCAATGCTATAGAGTTGATTATTCTGTTATTTGTAATACTCAAACAGTTTGCATCCCGAGGCAGTGCAACTAAGGCTTCTCACGACAGCTGCCTAATTAAACAATAATAGTGCAGTACTGAAGATACTGTAAATAAGTTCCCAGCCCACGCCTGCGAACACAAACGCAGAGGATCAGTGCCGCTTTAAAATCCCTCATAGTTCAATCAGCTGCAGGCAAGAGTCGACCTTTATAAAGATCCGGGATCAGACGACCATCACAAAACACGTGTAAAAAACATAACGCAGCATTAAACGCTAAAAATAGATAAACACAAGAGTCAGTCAAATAAATTGCCAATTAAATGAAATGTCAACTAACTAACAATAATAAATATCAAACATTATATCAACTCTCACTCAACACAACTACATATATATTTAATATATATATAAAAAAAATCAAACTAAAATAAATATTTAAATAATATTTATAAATATAATTTAAAGATAACTTTAAAAACATTTAAATAATAATATTAAAATTATTATAAATATCCTATCATAAATATATTAAAATATCAAAATAAAATAAAATAAAACATTAAAATAATATTTACAATTATTCAAAATATCCAGTAAAATACATACCAATTCCCATATTTTAAAAATATAAAATATATTTAATAATAACTTCAAAACATTTAAATAATATTTAGAATTATTCAAAATATCAATTAAAATAAATATCACGTCTCATATTTTAAAAACATAATATATTTAAAAACAACTTTACAACATGTAAATGCCATTTAAAATGATTCAAAATACACACATAAATTAAAAATATTTAAAATATCACTTTTCATTTTACCCTCTGTAATCCCATTAAATTGTCGTTTAAAAATATTTAAATAATATTTTAAATA